CAGATTGCCAACCTTAATGTGAAATGTCCGCAATCACAAGGAATTGAGAGATATTGAAAAATGATTAATGTGACAAATCAAAGAAGCTACTCCGGTCTCATAAAAAGACATACAGTACATTTGTTGATTTTTCTTGTTTTGCTGTTGTTGTTTTTGTTATGTGTCTTTTAAATTGAACTCCAGGAAGGAAGAGAGGCCGAATGCCTTTTTTTTTTTTTTTTTTTTAAATAGACTGCAATAAAAGTTGGTTTGTTTGATGAACTCTATCAATAAGCTAAGGGTGTTTTTCTCACTGTCGATTTTCTGAATGCAACATCAAACATTTGGAGAAAAAAAAGGAGATGGTTGAAAGTATTTCCTCTGAAATGATGCTTGTGAGCTTTTATTGTTATATAATATTGACTTCTCTGTGGTACAGCTGTGGAGTTAATGAGGAGTGAAATGAAATGGCAAGCCTCTTTATGCCTTAATGTTGTATCCTTTGCATTGCTGTGCACTTCAATTGTAATGTTAAGCGTCTGTACATTTCATGTAGTGGTGGGCGATATTGATTATACTTGATGTATTGTGGCTTCTTCCACGTGGGATGTACAAAATGACTATATCGCGAACATCGAGTATTAATTGTCACATCATCAAGCATGAAAGGGGGAGAGAGAGAGCAAAGGGCCACAGGCCGGACCCGAACCCGGGCCGCTGTGGCAACGGCCCTGCACATGGGGCGATCGCTCCGCCAACAAGCCACCGACGCCCCGTCACATCATTTTTTTTCAAGCCACTGGCATGAGAATTGCTTCAGCGTTTTTGTTCTCCTGCTCTCTCCAGTGGCTCTCTCGTTCTCAAAGACACACACACACTCAATAAGAAAGACTCAGAAATATATGTCTCACACACACCCCTCTGCCTATCCAGTCCACCTGAGCTATTTGTGAGCAGGAGAGGTGTGTGTTTTAATGCTTCCACGCTGGCGATAGCTGTACTGTAGCTACTGTCCATTCGTCCGTACCTACGTCAAGGTTACATAGAGCGAGCACACTTGCATTAACTTTAACCCCGCCTCCCAACAGTCTCTTGCTTGCTATAATCAGTGGCGGTTCATAGTAACTCTGGATTTGGCTGTTGTTGAATTTCACAAGTTTTAGAACTGAATTAAATAAGGGCTACCTAAGTGTTTGTACTGGGAAGTTGATGTATCTCAAAAAATTATCTGCTGATTTAAAGACTTCCCTTTAACAATGTAAGTCTTTGGGAAAAAGTCTTTTTGGACCCCAGGGATGAGTCCTAAAACCCAGCAATGAGTTTGCTTTTTACCACTCCCAGTTCCCTCGTCTTGAAGTCAGTGGGTTTTGTGAATGTTTTTTTTTTGCCTGAAATAAGGTCTGTGACACAAGATTCAGAGACTCCCTTTGACATAAAATCCATGAGTAAATACCCCGTTCATGAACTGCTATGTGTCTTAAAAAAGGCGGTTGCTAACAAGTAGCTAAATAAGACTACAGAACTGCATCATGACGAGCCGTGTCAAACGCAGCTTTACAGTTTTCTTTACACTTTTTGCTTCTGCCGATTGTATTTAGGCTTCATTTATCATGAAAGTGGTGTTAATTTGTGGACATTATTTTGCTGAACAGACGTGTAAGTATCATAAACATTAGTTTGCCACAGATCTTAAAATAATCCAAAATCAAATGAAAATGAATCCCATAGGCTTTTTGACAAAGGGAACCAGGCCAATGATAACTTCAGCATCGGCCTACAGAAAAACATCATCCGTGGGGCACTCTGTGGTAACACTTAATGAACTGGGTAGTTGTAATTATATAATTTGGCTGCTTTGTCAAATTGGCAAGAAGCTCCTGTTCCGCAGATTTATTCAAGCCAGCATATGGCCAAAGACATGCATCGGAAAGAGGCTGAGACTGAGACCAGAATCTCAGCTGCCAAGAGCAAACACCGGCTGGTGTGCCTTTGTTCAAATTTCCCTCCGATGCCAACAGAAAAGAACAATTCTGCTGCAGTCAATTTCAGTGTGGACAGTTGTTAATGGACACTAACCTTGAGTGTGTGCTACCAAGCATGAATGTTTTGGCTATTCCTCACTTGAGCAGAGGTGTGCTCGAGACCTTCTTCTGTATCCGACAGATAAACTGGAAAAGACAACCAAGACCAGCAGGGCTGAGAGGGCAGATGACCACTGAGAGAATATTTTTGTTACCTAACGCTATGTTTTGATGCTCGCCTGCAATTCATCCCAGTACAAGAAGACAGTGCCCGCAGGGCTCGACAAGCAGGAAAAATCAGCTTTCTCGATCAATATAGCACACACTAGTATAATTGACCACATTTACCATCAACACTGTCTGGACACCCACATAAAAGGTGATGAATTTTACCTTTAATTCCACAAGTGATAGTCTGATGACTTGCCTGTGCTATCCATCAGTAGTAGCTGTCTCAGACATCATGGAGTGATTTACCACATATCTTATGTGCCTCAAACATCAGTGTAAAAGCCCTGGTTAACCCACTACACAATCTATTCATCTGTGACAGCGTGTTTCTTTACCCCAAAAGGGGGCGCTGCATCAGCAATGATGCAATGCCAATCTCATCTGATCTAAACACAAAGTAATTCTAAGGCTGATTTTCAGATACATTCATTATAATTTGTGTTCGTTCAAAATTAAATGGCAATGAGGTATTTCAGTCTGGAGCATAGTGGTGGACTGACCAACAGACCCACTGCTTGCATAGACAATATTAACTGAATTAAGGGTCTTTGTTTGTTTGTTTTTCATTTTTAAATTAAAGTGACTGTGTGAATGTGTGGGTGAGCGCACAAGCTGTTAGAAAATGTTTACCAAACATGGGTTGCCTGAAATAACACACTCTCACCGCAAGTGTTCTACAACCAACTCTCCCAGTGCGTTCCCAGTTCATGTTAGCCAGACTGAATGAAATGTCAATTAACAGCATCGCCAATGTGTGGGAACACACAGTGTTTAATCTGCCTGCCATATCAATAGGACCAAATATAGCTGCTGTAGTCAAATCAATCTACCTGCAAACATCCATTTTCACTTGGTTTTTAATTGTTTCCTGTCTGACTCATCATTTGATATCCACCTCTTTCTAATCTGCTTTCCATCAGTTTATCTGCATGCTGTTTTTCTCTTTGTCTCTCTGCCACTTGTACTCTGAGTGTTATCTTTGTGTCCTGTGTTTTTCCACTGTAAACATGTTGATGACATTTCAGTGTTTTATTGAATGCTTTGTGCTCAGTTCTCACAGCTGAGTTACAATGTGCAAAGAACTAAATTGACTTCCTAAATCACTAGAACAGCGTTTGCACACATTTCTACTCATTGTAACATAACTGCCCCCATGAGCACTATCAAGACAGAACTGCTGAGTAGTTCATCACTGCTGCCGTACATCTCATGAATTGGAAAAGGGAATGTGTGGAAAAAAGTTTAATTTCTTGTCTTTTGATTACTGTCAGTAAGTTTGTATTGAGGGTCTACTGCAGCTGTAAATTGTTTACAGTAAAATGTGTGTTTTTTACCTGCATGTAAGCTTACTGTAGTTTGATGATGATGATGATGATGATGTAACTTACAAGTGATTTAAATATGGTCCCTACAGAATAGAAAAAGCAGAGAAGCACAGTCACAATCATCATTTTGTTTAAATGCGTTGCACTGTAAATTCAGACTCAAGACCAGTTATTCCCAACCGTTTTCCTTGAGGCACCTCTTTTCTATTACTGAGGAAACCAACGACCCCTGACTAGGTGACATATTTTTGGGTTATGTCATTTTATATTCAGTGTGTAACACTAACAGTACAGAACAACTGATCAGCTGCACAGTTAACCCAAATAGTGAACACAATAACTGCAAGACGTTTGTGTAAAATGAGCAATTTGGATGAATTTGGAGCAGGTTGTTTTCTGTGAATATTACATCAGAGATGACTTTTTTAAGACATATTTTGGTCATTTTTATACAATTCTCTGTCTGTATTGGATTTTTTTCTTATGGCTTATTGCTTTTTCAAAATTCAGTGTTTTCCTCCGATTGACGCTTGGCATTGGTTGCTTTAACTGCGTACCTTTATAATGCAGGATGAGGCTGTTTAAAAGAGAGTGAAGGCTGTGTGAATATGCTTGTGTTCAGGTTTTCACTGTGCCCTTATCCTGTGAGATGGGTTTTAAGTTTTTTATCTGAAATAATAATAATAATAATAATAACAATCGAAAATAACAATTCCATTTACTTTTCTTCACATAAATGAATGCAATTTTGTGTGGCCTACTGTGTGGGTGGTGGTGTGTGTTCCTCAACCCTGGGTCCTCTACCAGAGGCCTGGGAGTTCTGTGCAGTGTCTTACCTGTTCCTAGGACTGCGCTCCTCTGGACAGAGACCTCAGATGTTGTACCCGCAATCTGCTGGAGCCACTCTCCTAGTTTGCGGGTCGCAGCCCCGAGTGCTTTGATTACCACTGGCACCTCTCTCTTTTAGTCCTTATATATAAATATATGTGTATACAGAAGTATTCCATTTTGTATTAAATGCTTCGCAAAATTGTCATTATATTGTGAAAGTTTTGCAAAAGCAAATTCTGTAACAGAAAGCTAAAAAACGCAGGAAGAACAAAAATGCCCTTCATGTCAGTTAAAACATTCCTGAAATTAGCAATAAATACCCTGCTTTATAATATTCAAAGCCGCTGCTTTAAGGTCACAGCTCTACACGGTGAGACGCTGGGGCGCCTCCTGCTGGTGGTTTTCAAAGTTGAAATGTGCAGACATGCAGTTTTTCAAATAAGGAAAGAAATGTGCTTTGGTAGACAGCATAAACATTGGAAGTAAGCTTGTGTTTGTAAGATAAATCTCATCACTTTCTCATGTTTTATTACCTTTTGTTTCAGTCTGAGACAAATGTAGAAAACTGTTCAGTTAGATAACTAATTGATTTTTTTTACCCCCCCTCCAACAGAACATATGGGCGGAAGCTGAGACAACAGAAGGACAAAGCGACAGAAAGAGCACATCCATGGGTGTTGTTTCGCTACCCGAGCTGGAGATGATGGATGAGACGTGGGAAAACAGCAGCTTTGCCAGCCCCTCGCCTGGATTCCCCCTGTTACTACTCATATTCAACAACAGCGATCTGAATGAGACATTCCTGAATGACACCAACCCAAAAAACTCCACTGAACAAGGTGTCCCCTCAGGTCTCAGTGTGGCAGGGGTCCTCATACCACTCCTATACATAATCGTGTGTATCATCGGCCTGGGTGGGAACACTTTAGTGATTCACATTGTGCTGCACTACTCAAAGATTGAGTCAGTGACCAACATCTACATTCTCAACTTAGCCATTGCTGATGAGCTCTTCATGCTCAGTTTGCCTTTCCTGGCAGTTCAGAACACCCTCAATTCATGGCCATTTGGCTCCTTCATGTGCCGTCTTGTGATGACTGTCGACTCCATCAATCAGTTTACCAGCATCTTCTGCCTGACTGTGATGAGCATTGATCGCTACCTTGCTGTGGTCCACCCCATTCAATCCTCAAAGTGGCGGCGCCCCCAGGTGGCCAAAATGGTGAATGGCACTGTCTGGGCTGTGTCATTTCTTGTCGTTCTGCCTGTGGTGATCTTTTCCAAAATCCAGAAGTCAGGAGGTACCTGTAACATCGCCTGGCCACAGCCGGCTAACATCTGGTCAGCAGCTTTTATTATTTACACCTCTACAGTTGGATTCTTCTGCCCTCTGCTTATAATCTGCCTCTGCTACCTGCTCATTGTCTTCAAGATACGCAGCTCCGGCAAAAAAGTCCATGCCACCTCCACCAAGCGTAGGAAGTCAGAGAGAAAAGTGACGCGCATGGTTGTGATTGTTGTTGCTGTGTTTGTCTTCTGCTGGCTGCCCTTCTACGCCCTCAATATTATCAACCTGCTGGTGTTGCTGCCCCCAGAGTATCAGAGTCTTTACTATTTTTTCGTAGTGCTCGGCTATGCCAACAGCTGCGCCAACCCTATCGTTTATGGCTTCCTGTCAGACAACTTTAAGAGGGGTTTCCGGAAAGCCCTTTGCCGATCTACAAGGAAGGTGGAGAACCATGAGCCCATGGAGCGCCAGCAGCAGCAGGAGGAGGGCAGGATGGCGCTCATGCCCAGGGAGAGCCTGAGACGGGCAATCAGGGATGAGGAGGACGATGATGAGGAAGACCTCTCAGAAATGACTGAGATCTATAGAATTGCCCAAAATGGCAACAGCAGCTTCCAGCCGCAGAGTTCACAGCCACTGTTGTCAGAGAAAGGAGCGACTACAGCAGCGACAGAGCTGTCCTCCCCGGACAGGAAGGACAAATCTGGGGAAATGAAGGGGAAAGATCTGATCAACGGGTCCACACTGACTGTACCATTACTTCTCAATGGAACCAAAAATGGGAGCATTAAAACTCTGCCAGAGGAAAACTTGGACCAGAGCACCTCCCTGGAGATTAGTTACTTATAGTGTAAAATATGGAGAGTGTGTTACCTGAAGTGAACTTAGTATTACAACACATTACAACGCTGAGCAGTTTGTAATGGAACAAAAAGCCTATTAAAAGATACATAATTATGACTTAAAAAAAAAAAAAACTCAAATGGGCCTTGGAATTGCTTTTTTAAATCAATGGACTCAAAAGTTCTTAAACACTTAAAGGAGTTGATGAAGTTTTATGAACATACAGAATGTATTCCTGTTTATATCGTGTACATATGCATGAATATGAATGTAAGAAGTTGTGCCTTTATTTACCTTTATCATGTGTATCTTGTTGATTGTTGTATTTGCAGCCTTTTTATTCCATAATGTGACAATCGTGTGCTCAAATTTTACTGTATTTAAGATTAAATCAGCATTTACTGCAATCGTCTACACATTAGCTGAACAATGATGACATGGCTATACTTTATTTTAGATACCAATCCCATACCTGCAAACCCATCTATTAATTGTGTTTATATACGTAGCACATTTATATACTTAGTTACATTATAAGGGAGATGTAATTGCCAGGATTATATTTGCAGGTTTTAGGGAGGTGGGCAGGGTGGATGGTGGGTGTACACAGCGTTTGTGAAATATCGTAGTTTCAGTTAAATGTTCATGAAAATTTTGTCTCATCCTTAATGTCTCTCTTGAGTTTTGAACCAAGACCACAGTCATCTACCAATTCATGCCAGTACCTGAACATAACTGTAAAATATAGCCTATATATATTGCTGTTTCTACAAGTGGATATTTTAAGAAAACAAATGTTATGTTTTTGCAAATTTAAAGGTACGTTCAATAACAGAGGGCCTCATGCAAGAACGTTTTCACTATCTTACTACTTTCACCATCTACGTAATGTCTTACTTTTTTCCTTAAGGTTTGCTCATATGATGGTTCCAAACCACCAGACTCACTTTACTGGACAAACTTGTTGTAATTTGCTTGTCTCAGGTTGATGAATGAGATTTCATCATTAACATAACCAACACCCCTAAAATTGTCACATACGGTGACCCATTCTGCTCGGTTTGTGGGTCACAGAAATGTTACTGAAGAGTATAAACAATATTTTTACACAGCTGAGCTTTAAGAAATCAGCAAACAAATTTAGCCGTGACAGTATAGTCATTTCAGAGGATCCAAAAATAAAAGATTACCTTAATATTCAGCTGCAGATAAGTCACAGATATTAGCAGAGTAGTACTACAGAAGGTGATGTGACACTGGACAGAAATCTGCATAAAGAGGCAGCTGATGGAATGAGAGTAAATAACTGACATGCAAAATATGTCAGTAAAATTATTATAAATACCTCTCAGTAAATTGACAAACCATGATGATGATTATATGGATTGTGAACAGAATAATAACTTTCTGTTTAGTCTGACTATTCATCATATTGTAATATATTCTATTTTAATTTCTGTATCTTATGTAAACTCCACATTCATTGGGATTCATGATTTCCGATCAAATTAGTGTTGCTGTTTTTTTTTTTTTGTTTTTTTTTTTTTTGTTAGTTTGTTTGTTTTGGAGGGTTTTTTTTTGTCCTGTGGATGAAGGCAGACTATTTTTACAGGACTCATACAACAGGTTTGGACCACTCATGAGTTTCATTCAAAATTCTACATACCAGAAAATCTGTGAATGCTACACTCATATGTGCCTCTGAAAGTGAATCTGTTTGTACAAGTTGTTCTTGCATGAGACCAAATGTTTCCTCATTATGTTGATAAAAAATGTAATTCATATGGTACCTTGTTTTCTTCAAAACGTGCCTCCTTTTGGAGATTAGTAATATATTAACATAATTTATAAATATTAGCTCGAGTGTATTGTGTATGGCTTATATTCAGGCCCTGACCTTTGGGTTTTGTCTGAAATTTCTCTAAGCTATGTTGTAGCAGAAATTGTGATTTTGGTGAAGGATTTACTGTCTCTTACATTATTGTTGGAAAGAAAAATGCACTTTTTCCTGAAAACATAAAGTTGTGTGTGATAACTTTGCACTTATAACTGATTGATCTTGCTGCTTGTTGTTATTCAGTGCAGCCTGCTGCTCACAGATCAAGATGGACTGGGAAACACACAAAAGATGGTAACAATATTGCTTTGATCATTTCTGTTGGTTATAAACATAAACAATATATAATATCCTGCATTATTTTACAGAGATTAAAACCAGTTTTTCTGAAGAGTGTTAAAGGAACAGTTCACTACAAAATCAAAAATACGTATTTTTCCTCTTACCTGTAGTGCTGTTTATCAGTCTAGATTGTTTTACATCTAAAAACTCAACAGCAATGTCTCTTTCAGTAAATCATGACCTGGTTAATTAAGATAATCCACAGACCTTGTTGTGAGCACTTTCATGTAGGAAGTATTTTCTTTGTACCAAACTACACCTGCCAACTGTATCACTGCACAGAAGGGAGCGTGTATCTACTGCTAGCTCACTTAGCACCACTGATCTAGCTAACGTTACATCTCAGCTGAGGAGGACGCCATTAATGTTTTACACTGTCATGAGCACGAGCCTCTCATCCATGAGTGGGTACATGCTTTCTTGTGCGGATGTACTTTGGTAGAAAGAAAATAGTTCCTACTTGAAACTGCTCACGACAAGGTCTGGGAATTATCTTGAGTGACTGGGTCATGATTTCTGGAAAGAGACATTGCTGTTGAGTTATTCAAATGTATTTTTTTTTGGCACTTTGAGCACCACAACCAAGTGCCATCTAGTTCCATTATATTCAAGAGAAGCAGACATCTCTATGGCCAATATCTCCAACACTTGGCAATTCACGCCAAAACAATCTCAACTGATAAATAGCACTACAGATAAAAGAAGGAATATGTGTTTTTGATTTTGGGCACAACTGTCTCTTTAAGATAAATTATTTGTTGGAGTTGTACATTCTGTGCAACTGCTACAGCACTGCCAGGTATTAAAAGTTAATAATTTACCTTTTGGTTATCAGAAAAAAACTTTCAGGTTGTGTACTTAATGTGGCTGATAAACTATTGCAGGAATGGTGGTTATTGCGTAAAACAAACTTGGGATATAAACTACAAAGTGTTCATTCCACCATACAGGCTGAAACTGACACATATTACTGATGTGGTACCACCTATGGTTACATTATTATTTTTTATCACACATATTCAAGGACTCAACAGAAGCTCCAGGCTACTTTAGCTGCTACTAACATAACACACCTGAATTTCTGACCCAGCTTTTGAGGGCTGAGTTGCAGTTTGGTAATGAGAGAAGAATAAGTGGCACTCAATTAAAAAGAAAATAGGATATCTCTGCTTCTGCTGCATCAATTTTGATTTTTAAAAAGTTGTTCATTATAAGTCAAACAGTGTTAAAAGATTAATTAAGAGCACTGAGAATAATACATTTCTTTATACTGCATATGCACAGCAGTGGTTCTCAAACTTAGTCCCTGTTTGAGGGACAGAAGAAATCATTTTCCCCCATCTAAACTGATTTAATTTTTTATCATATCTTGCTTATCATCCAGTGTCTCTTGTGGCTCACTCATTCATATTTTGATGTTTATGCTCAACAACAATTGCCTGTTTTTTCAGTTGACTGTCAGTTGTCTGTGCATTTCATTCTTTTTGTCATTTTGTTGTCTAAGTAGCATTTTGACCTGAAACGTGTTTCCCCAAATTTGCAACATGAGATACTTCCTCCTTCTAAATTTGATGTGTTTTATGAAGTTGAAGAAACACAAATATACTTGCAACCAATACATCGTAGAGGACTCGCAAATTAATCAGTAATTTGAGACGAACTTAGACTTTGAGGTTTTCAGATGTTTTAATGCTATCATATCTGACAGCCACCCAGAACTGACAGAACCAGACAACTCTCAATCTCTCATATTTCAACCCTTCCACCCTGCTGAGAGTTGACTGCTGTTATATGGCGTGGATGCAGATGGATGCGACTTGGCCTTGTAGAGTTTTGGGCAAAGTTTCCTGGGGAATATCAAACTTTTTGCATTTTTTTTTTTTTACACTAAAAACTATAAAATGGGACCAGGATCAAGATTCAATGTGATAAAGTGACTGTACATATGGTTAACTAAGTGAAGAAACTGGATTCAGTGTTAAGCTCATGTTTAACATGAACAATCGTGGATCCCATTGCAAGATGGGCTCTAATAAGTGTTATTGATCTTGGGGGATAAATTCACAAGCTGCCCAGCAGTATTGGAGTAATTGGAATTAGCTCTACCTTTGTCAGTGGCAATATTACAGTGATGAATACATTAATGCATTATAACAATAATTATAATCCAAGCACGTTAAACAGGCCCACATTGTTTTGAAATGAGCCATTCTGTGCAATGACTACTATTATACTATCATTATATTTGATGTTAATATCTTTTTGCTTTAACTTAGATAAGAATGTGAGTGTAGGACTTTCACTTGTAATGAAGTATGTGTCTGCACTGTGGTATTGCTACTTTAACTTAAATTAAAGATCTGAATACCTCTACCAGTGCTTTTGGGCATTTTCACTGTCTACTGACAACTCAAGTAAAGTACTTGAGTACATTCCACCACTGACTGTCCAGGTAGAAAAATGTATCTTAATCTTAACGCTCTATCATTCATCAGAAACTCACCTCACAGCTGTTCATTCATGAGTGTTAAACACACCACACACACTGACACCAGTTATATTTAGCTGGCTGTAAATACAGTGAGACTCTGTGTTACCGTGCTGCTGCTGCTCTCGGCTGGTCTTCAGCCCACACGCCCACGCTCACCCTTCTGCAATGATCCACTGAGGAGTATAAAACCATCATTAAAGGCGCATTAAAAAGGGATTTGCCTGGCTGTACTTTATTTGCCAACACCCCCCCCCCCCCCCCCCCCCCCCCCCCCCTCCCAGGAGGTTTGGCAGTTTGATGAGAGCGGGGATTTGTTCTGGGCGAGTAGAGCCGTGTGTGTTTGCTTCTCTCTGTGAGTGCAATGTTTACCAGTGTTTGTGTGTTCATCTATAAATGTTGAGCTGCTCGGCCGTGTGATCCCCGACTCCCCTCGGTGATAACCCACCTGTGCTTACTGCAGACGGAGAAGTGTTAGTCAGTTGATGGTCTGCTGGTGACTCAGTGTGATTCTCTGCCTACAGAATCTCACCCACGTACAATATGGACAAGTTAACTCTAATAGCCTATTACTCACTTTTTTGGCAGGAGAAACTATGGAAACCCTGCACAAACTCAACTCACATGATCCTAATGAACATTAATGCTTCCCTTTTGTGATTAAATATCTTATTCTGTTGCATATAGCTCATACAAATTCAGAATAATCCATGTTTTTTTCCACAGTTTAATCAGGATACATGAGGAGTTTTATCCCACTGGTGATGCTAACTGAGTGGGAGTCTTTATTACTTTCACCCATCACTTAAGTTGAAGTGTTGGTGTTGATAAAAATGCAGGAACAGTTTCTCAATGGGACTCAAACCCTC